CTGCCTGCTTCCCTTTCCTTTTATCTCTTAAGAGATAAAAGGTGGTGCAGGCCACACCCCAGGGAAACTCCCTTTACATTGGATGTGACCTGGGTAAAAGTGGTGTTACAATCCCACCCTAATGGGTAAAAGTGGTGTTACAATCCCACCCTAATCCTCTTTAACATAAAATTACAATCACAAAATGGAGGCCAACCACACAATTCTGGGAATCATGGCCCAGCCAAATTGATACACACATTTTTTTGGGGGGACATAATTCAAACCATGATGCTTTGAAGAGGGTGCATAGGCCCGGCCCACTATTATTTACTCCCCGTTGCTAACCGCCACATTGTCTTGTAATTTTTCCCTCCAGTTCTAGTCTCTACAAAAAGGTTTAAGATTAAGGGATGTTCCTCCCTGGGAGGGTGGAAAACAAGTGATATTGATCTAAGAATGAAAAACCAAACAAAGCACCCATCTTGTGACAAGAAAAAGCAGGATGTCAGATAATCCCCAAGGATGTCACCAGATAACCTCTAAGAATACCAGTAGAAGGTTAACTCATCTAAGACATCATTACCTCAAGGAGAAACTACCACAAAAGATCCATAATCCTGTCCTTATAAAAGACTTCAGCCGATCTCCAGTGGGGGAGACGGGTTTTTTTGAGGAATTTATGCCCCTCCGTCTCCTATATATGGATATATAGTAAACATCTTGCTGCTCACCTCACCCGCCTCAGAATTGGCTATTGCGGCAGGCAGCTCCAATCCGCATTATTGCGGTAACAATGACAGTAACTTTTCATAATTTACTTGAGCCTGGACTAAAAATGTCACCCCATAAAGGCCAAGAGGGGCATGCTCTTCTTCACCAACTGGAAGCATAGGCAGTGACTCCACATGAGCAAAACTTTGCTTTGATTTACACACCTGTTTGAAGTAATACAATAAGACAACAGCAATAGCAATAATTGTTTTGATAAGATCTGTAACATTAGTTTTTGCTGCTTTAAATGTAAAGAGTACATTTATAGTCTGCCGCACGCTGAAAGGTAATTTTCTTCTAATGAATAAAGGAGTTGTAAAAAAAAAAAAAAAAGAAAAGTCTCATGGTATAGGAAGAGCAGTGACTAACCACTTTTGAAGGAATTACGCCTGCTTGATTCTTATTACCGTAATTAGCTTTTCTCATGTTATGGTCGTTGTGAGTTCGTATTCTAGGAGAGTATTAAATCAATAACAGCCTCATCAGGGCCTGAAAAAAAGTTCAAGGCAAATGAATTTTACGTATGGATGTAAAATTAACTGCCATAAATATACTTGAAGTTTTTTTCATGCTCTTGTAAAGCCTGAAATCAACAAGGATATATCTTTTTCAGAGATACAGTTACATCACATTTGGGCAAGAAAAAGATAACAAAGTAAAAATATGAAAGAATATGCTACTGTGCTGATTTTTCTTACTCTTCACCTATTATTCTTATTTTCCATAAATTAATTTGGAATCCTTGCTATAGTAGCATGAATTATTTTATAAGCTGAGGAAAAAAAAAAAGAGAGAGAAAAGAAAAGGATAGAGTATACAGAACCTGAAAATAGAAGGGTTGAGCTTTGATCCAATTCTCATTATATATAGAGGGCTATAGTGAGTTCTCTTCCAGTTGTAGTTATTTTCAAATTCTCCGGTGGCGCGTCTCTATTTAGGTGGCTCTTGTATCATCAATATCATCTTGTATTGTTAATGCATCAAACATCACATAAGGTCCTGTTCTGTATAAAATATGTTAGCGCCAGTGCATTTTGCTCGCAATTTGACGCTTATGCCAGTGGTGATGGTAAATATTAGGTGCTTATAATGTACCAGGGTCCTGAGCTATGCCATTCACGTGTATTCCATTATCACATTTAAGTCTAGTAACAGTCCAGTGAGGTAGATGCTATTATTTGAACTCATTGAATAGATGAGGAAACTAAAGCTTAATGAAGTTAAGTAACTTAACCAAGGTCGCCTGCCTAGTAAGAGATAGAACCAGGATAATGGCTCTTCATTATTTTGGGTGTTCCATGTGGGTAATCATATCATGTATGAATAACAAGAGTTTTGTTGCTTCCTTTCCAATTCTTTTGCATTTATTTTTTTCCCCTTGTCTTTATTGCACTGTCTAGAATCTTCTGTACAATGTTGAACAGAAGTGATGATAATAGGAATTCTTGTCGTGTTCCTGATTTTAAGGATATGCTTCTACTGTTTCAACATGAAAATTTATGTTCACTGTAAACTCTTTGTAGATAGATCTTGTCAGGTTAAGAAAGCTTCCTTTGCTAAGAAGTTTCCTGAATACAACCAAACACTTTGAGGGACAGAGTAGCAGGGACAGGGGTCTGGGGACCATGCTTTCAAGGGACATCTAGGTTAGTTGGCATAACAAAGTTTATTAAGAAAATGTTCTGCATCCTACTTTGGTGAGTGGCATCTGGGGTCTTAAAAGCTAGCGAGCGGCCATCTAAGATGCATCAATTGGTCCCAACCCACCTGGAGTAAAGGAGAATGAAGAACACCAAAGACCCAAGGAAAGTATTAGCCCAAGAGACAGAAAGGGCCACATAAACCAGAGACTTCATCAGCCTGCCACCAGAACTAGATGGTTCCCGGCTACCACCAATGACTACCCTGACAAGGAACACAACAGAGAGTCCCTGGTGGAGCAGGAGAAAGGTGGGGTGCAGAACTCAAATTCTAGTAAAAAGACCAGACTTAATGGTCTGACTGAGACTGGAGGAACTCCAGAAAGCATGGCCCCTGGACTGTCAACCCAGAACTGAAACAATTCCCCAGGCCAGCTCTTCAGACAAAGATTAGACTGGACTATGGGACATAAAGTGATACTCATGAGGAGTGTGCCTCTTAGCTCAAGTAGATACATGAGACTAAATGGGCAGCTCCTGTGCGGAGGCGAGATGAGAAGGCAGAGAGGGTCAGGAGCTGGTTGAATGGACACGGGAAATCGGGTAGAAAGGAGGAATGTGCTGTCCCAGTATAGGGAGAGCAATTAGGGTCACATAACAGTGTATGTAAAAATTTTTGTATGAAAGACTAACTTAAATTGTAAACTTTCACTTAAAGGATAACAATAAAATTTTTAAAAAGTCTGGAAAGGGCAAGAGATTGGAAAAGAAGAAAAAAAAAGCTTCCTTTGATTTTTATTCTGTGAAGCTTTTTCTTTTGAACATAAAAGGGGATTAAATTTATCAAATGTCTTTCTACACATTTTGAGATGATAATATCTTGCTTCTTCAATCTGGTGGATAACATCTATAGATTTGCTAATCTAAACCAATTTTTCCTTCTTGGAATAAATCTTACTTGTTTGTGATATATTATCTTCTCAGTGCAGTGCTCCAGAAAGTCACTATTAATCAATTTGAATTAGCGTGCAAGCTGAAAGAGATTAAGCAACTCCAATTGAAGGGGATTTCCCTTAGTCTCTCTTCCACCAGGAGTAGTTCCATTTTAATACAGGAACTATTCAATTCTGAAAATACATACGTGACATAAAATACAGACCCCTTAAATTCAGGTAAAGAAGAGATTTACAGACGAGGTCTTCCTCAAATCATTCAATGTAGGTGAAAGCCTATTTTACCTATTCAGAGCTCAGTCTTGAGGACCACATCTGCTTAGAATAATTATGTCTGGTTGAAAGGTGAATGGAGCTGCAAGTTTGTGACTAAGTGGACAAGTATAGGAAACAATCAAGAGGATATACAAATGTGTAACTAATTTAACCTTAGAAGCCACATGATAAACTCTTTGAGCTTTTTCTGAGAGAAGATCTCATTTATTTCTGTCAGGCACAGCATAGGAAACAGTATATTTTTCTAATCTCTGCACTTGATTCATTAGGAACAGGCCATATCTGCTTGGCTCACATGGTTCTCTGTCTCCATGTTGATCCCAAAAAGCAAGGGTAGGGAGAGTTCTGGGGTAAAGAACTGTTGTTGTTGGTTGCCACTGAGTTGATTCCAACTCATGGCAACCCCAAGTGTGCAGAGTAGAACTACTTCACAGGGTTTTCAAGGCTGTAACCTTTTGGAAGCAGATCTCCAGGCCTGTCTCTGGCTGGATCCAAACCATCGTCCTTAAGGGTAGTAGTTGAGTGCATGACCGTTTGCACTACCTAACGGTCAAACTCCAAGCCAGTGGCTGTCAACTTTGGCTGCGCAGGAGATTTACCTGGGGAGATTTAAAAATCCCAATGCTCAGACCAATTGAATCAGAAACACTGGGTTTGAGTCCCAGTCATCAATATTTTCTTAAAGGTGCCCAGATGATTCCAACATGTAGTTGAGAACCAGTGGCCAGAGTCAAATGAGTATTAACATATGCAGGGTATAGCAGATATTTTGTAAATAGATACATGTACCTAGTCTATATGCAGGGTATAGCAGACATTTTGTAAATAGATGCATGTACCTAGTCTTGAGAGAGTCTTTTAATAAGATAAAATGAGATCTGCTGGTTTTAATGTTTTACTTCTAAAGACTTTACTCTCTGAGAACTTTTCCTTTTCCAGACTAACAGGGAAAAAATCATTGGGGGGTGAGGTAGTACAACACAGCAATAAGACAATAACAGACACACAGAATCATGCAAGTATTCTTTCAAATATTGCCAATTGTTGTTATTGTGTGCCACTGAATCAATTCTGACTCATAGTGACCCTATAGGACAGAATGGAACTGCCCTACAGGGTTCCCTAGACTGCAGTCTTTACGGGAGCAGATCACCAGGTCTTTTCTCCCGTGAAGTGGCTGGTGGGTTCAAATGACCAACCTTTCGGTTAGCAGCTGAGCAGTGATCCATTGCGCCACCAGGGCAATGGTTATATATTTTTATTGCAAGTAAAGGGTTTGAATTTGGGGGTCCATAATTCCCTGCTTTACTTTGGTGGAAAATGAGCCTTATAAACATATTTTCTACTAAATACCCGGCATGATTTTCTTTAGGTTGCAAGCCTGGTGCTCTGAGAAAGTTGATGAGGTCCATCTAGGTGAACAGCCAGAGCTATTGATTTTCTCCCTCGCAGATGGGATATGCCACCTATAACTTGCCACTGATTGAAGTGATTCACCCTGTAAGACACTCAGATTCCACCCACCCTGCACCTGTCACAATCCCTGAAGCATAAGCATCTCCTGCAGCAGGTGAAGGAAAAGAAACGGGGCTTCTCATCTGAGAGTAGCAGCAGTTACGCTTTCTGAGCACTTTAGAAAGTAAATCTCTATTGTAGATAGCCCTGCAAGTCCAAAACTGTAGGAGGTTTGAAAAACAGGAGTTTTAGCAGCAGGCAGAAGAGTGATGGCACCACTGTAAGTCTAATGTTGAATTCTTCTAAGTTTCTTAATGTGATGTTGGGCGTGGGTCAATCACATCTTTCAGTCTCTAAGGAGATGGAAAAGATATTTTATCCCTATGTTCTTTTCTGTCATCCTGTTTGTTCTCTAGAATCACATAGTTAGTAGACTGAGTAGAAAGCAATAGAGAGTTTTGTTGTCATTACCTCTTATAATTTAAGTTCAAATTCTTAGGGAGATAAAATAGTAAGTGGTTAGCAAAAAATTCTCTGAAGCCTGATGTAAAATCAACTTTTGGGGTTCATTTTTGCAGGAATTAGACAATGCATACCAAAGTGATGTCTTGCAGATCAGTTTCAAGCCATGAAAAATTAATACAAAGGGCTTTATATATGCTTTCTCCACGTTATGCATCATTACCTATTCAGGCAATATTCATTGTTCCTTCCTCTGAGCAGGCTTTGGCCTGGGAGGTGGAGAATGCAAAGGAAAATATGCAACAGTCCCTGATATTAAGGAGGAGAGACTCCTAAACAACTCCGAGGTTGTAGCTGCAGTGCAGCTAAGAGATGGATGAAAAGTGATAAAGAAAAGCATCCAAATGCTTCATTTACGTGACAACCTAAGCCCATATGTTTGAAATAATCTGTACGACAATCAGAATCTTTGTTTCCATCTGGATATTTGCTATATTGTCAACACAGCCCAATTTTGAAGATAAAGTCTCCATTTGGTTTTGCAGCGTGATAAGTTCTTTCAAGTTAGTTTGCTTCCTTTCCTGTAACATGTGTTTGTTGCCTCTCCAATAATACACTTTTGTTGCCGTCACAGATGATTCATCCTTAAGTCTCATATCACTCAACACACTAGGCTCCACTGGCCCGAATCCTCATTGCATTTGAGACCTGATTTGAAAACTACTGTCAAATACTTCAAGAAGGAGGAAGAAACCCCAGGAGAATTAGGTGATAATATTATCCAGTGATATCTGGTGAGAGCATTTACTTAATCAAAACAAAAGATTTAACACCTGGTATGTATCTATCACTGTAACCAGCTGGTGCAGACCAAGGCCGCCAGCTTGAGCTACAAATGTATCCCAACGCTGAGTGGTCGCGGAATGGTGGTGTGAGCCAGGAGGTGAGAGGAGAAGGGGGCCAGCCCAGTGAGATCCTACAGCTGCCTGGCAAGTCACTCTGGTGTACTGTATCTCTGAAGTAAGTCCTTTTAATTTGGGCACTCCTTTTCCCCAGTCTTTATCTTAGTCCCTGCAGTTTATCACAGGGAGGAGAGGAGTCCTGTGATGATTATTTCTTTGAGGAAGCAGAAGCCAGACAGAGAAGGAAGGAAACAGAGTGAAAGAGCAGGAAATCTAGAGGGTGAGAGAATAGTGTAGTGAGGGTTAAAAGTCATTTGGCATTTGAGTCTACTTTGCCTACACGTTAGCGAAGTATGTACCTTTAAAATAACCAGTATTTTATGGAAGTAGTGGGGCTTCACAGGGGATTTAAATTAAAAAAAAAAAAAAAAGTATACTCTGGTCTCCAGATTCTTGGAACTGTTTGTTGCTGATAAGAATACCACTTGCTTATTTGTGTTTTAAAATGTCATATTTAGAGAAATCTAGAGTATGCTTTAGAGCCCTGGTGGTACAGTGGTTAAGAGCTTGGCTGCTAACCAAAAAGTTTGGCAGTTTGAATCTACCAGCCACTCCTTGGAAAGCCTATGGGGCAGTTCTACGCTGTCGTATAGGGTCGCGATGAGTTGGAATTGACTCAGCAGCAGTGGGTTTGGTTTTGTCTTTTTTGGTTTTAGAGTATGCTGAAGTATCCTTGTTTCACTAGTTTTAGAAACTTTGTTGTTGTTGTTAGTTGCCATTGAGTCAGCTCCCACACATGGCAACCATATGTATAACAGTGAAGTGTGGCCTGGTCCTGTACCATCTTCATGATCATTGCTGTGCTCGAGTCCATTGTTTGAGTCACTGTGTATTTTGAGTGCCTTCCAGCCTAGGGGGGGCTCATCTTCCAGCAGTGTATTGGATAATACTCTGTTGTGATCCATAGGGTTTTCATTTGCTTATTTTCAGAAGTAAATCTCCAGACCTTTCTTCTTAGTCTGTCTTTATCTGGAAGTTCTGCTGAAACCTGTTAACCATAGGTGACACTGTTGTTGTTTGAAATACTGGTGCCATAGCTTCCAGCATCATAGCAGCATGCAAGCCATCACCATACAACAAACTGACAGACAAGACAGGTGGCAGTTCAGAAACTTTAGGCACAATCAGTTTACAAACTCTAGGCTTACCACTGCCACTGTCCTTGTCTGTAAAATGGGATTGATACTGGTACCTATTGCATAAGGTTATTACGAGGAGTAAAAGAGCTAATATTCAAGTGCTTGGAAGTCTGTCTGGCAAAATAAATCCTATGTAAGTATTTATTAAATAGAATAACAAAAAATTTAAAAATAAAATATAAAAAATAGAATAATAAAAAATAATAAACATTGGTACAACCGTTTTGGAAAATGATATGGCTAGAAATAGAAATAGCATATGATCCAGCAAGCCCACTCCTAGGAATATATCCTAGAGAAATAAGAGCTGTCACACAAATAGACATATGCACACCCATGTTCATTGCAGCATTGTTCACAATAGCAAAAAGATGGAAAAAACCTATCAACAGATGAATGGATAAACTATGGTACATACACATAATGGAGTACTATGCAACAATAAAGAATGATGAATCTGTGAAGCATCTCACAACATGGATGAATCTGGAGGGCATTATGCTGAGTGAAATAAGTCAATCACAAAAGGACAAATATTGTATGAGACCACCACTGTAAAAACTCATGAAAAGGTTTACACACGAAAAGAAAACAGTCTTTGATGGTTATGAAGGAGGGAAGGGGTGGGGATGGAAAAACAATACATAGACAATAGATCAGTAGTTACTTTGGTGAAGGGTAAGACAGTACACAATACTGGGGAAGCCACCACAACTTGAACAAGGCAAGATCATGGAAGCTCCATAGACACATCCAAACTCCGTAAGGCACCGAATTACTGGGCTGAGGGCTGTGGGGACCATGGTCTCGGGGAACATCTAGCTCAATTGGCATAATGTAGTTTATAAAGATGTTCTACATAGTTCTTTGGTGAGTAGCGTCTGGGGTCTTAAAAGCCTGTGAGAAACCATCTAAGATACTCCACTGGTCTCACTGCTTCGGGAGCAAGGGAGAATAAAGAAAACTAAAGACACAAGGGAAAGATTAGTCCAGACGACTAAGGGACCACAATTACTACGGCCTCCATCAGACTGAGTCCAGCACAACTAGATGGTGCCCAGCTACCACCACTGACTGCTCTGACAGGGATCACAATAGAGGGTCCCAGACAGAGCTGGAGAAAAATGTAGAACAGAATTCTAACTCACACACAAAAAAAGACCAGACTTACTGGCCTGACAGAGACTGGAGAAACCTCATGAGTGTGACCCTTGGACACCCTTTTAACTCAGTAATGAAGTCACTCCTGAGGTTCACCCTTCAGCCAAAGATTAGACAGACCCATAAAACAAAACGAAACTTAAGGGGCACACCAGCCCAGGAGCAAGGACTAGAAGGCAGGAGGGGACAGGAAAGCTGGTAATAGGGAACCCAAGGTAGAGAAAGGAGAGAGTTGACATGTCGTAGGGTTGGTAACCAATGTCACAAAACAATATATGTACTAGTTGTTTAATGAGAAGCTAGTTTGTTCTGTAAACCTTCATCTAAAGTACAATAAAAATAAATAAAAATTTCCACGGTAAATTAGATTTTCTATCATTGCTTAATCCCGATTTATGTTGAATTATTTCCAAAATTAGATCGATTACTCCAGAGAAGTCTGCCCTTTCTTGCCATAATTGGATGAGCCTGGAATTCCCTATTGGTACCACCTCTTATAAACAGCTCAGAAGGTACTATGAGTTGGTCAATTCCAACTCATAGCGACCCTATAGGACAGAGTAGAACTGCCACATAGGGTTTCTAAGGAGCAGCTGGTGGATTCGAACTGCCCACTTTTTGGTTAGCAGCCAAGGTCTTAACCACTATGCCACCAGGGCTCCCAGAAGGTAGTAGTATTAACTATTACCAAGCCCTAGAATTTTGGCTTCTCTGGTGCAGAGGATGCCTGTCCTTAGCTACTTAGGTTTTGGCAAGAAGATTTATTGCATTGTATCGTGGCTTGGCTGAGACATGGCCCAGGGCAGCCAGACGCCGACTGCCCTTTTTCCAGTTAAAAGTTTCCCTGGCTTGAAATGTGATGAACAACATCATTTGGCCCCTGCTTTCTGAAGAAATTAGAAGTCGTTTCAGATCCCATGTCTCCTTTTCATACTTCTGTTGAGTATCTTACCATGAATTTTCAGAAGCAATGTCAGAATAAAGCACTTACCTCCTTTGACTGGTAACATGTACATTAATCATTACCCCTCTTCAGCAGAACCTGACCTGCAATGCTCCAGTGACAGATTTCTTGCTACTGTTTTTGCAACAGGCTCAGAAAATTAAGGCTAGAAATCTCCCCAGGGCCAGGGCTGTTGATCACATCATTGCTAGTCCCAGGTTATTGCCTCACATTTTAGTTTCTGGTTTGCCTTTTGGCTTCAGGAATTGGTGTGCTAACCACTCCCTGTAGATGGACATTGGCTTTTTTTTTTTTCCATTGGCCTGACTTAGGATTTGCAAAACAATTGCAAGTTTCCTAGTTACCAAACCAACCAATTATTATTAATGTTTCTAGACAAGATGTCTTCAGACTGAATTAGGGACCCAAACCAAAAAAAAAAAAGCCCATTGCCGTTGAGTTGATTCTGACTTATAGGGACCCTATAGGACAGAGGTAGAACTGCCCCATAAGGTTTCCAAGGAGCAGCTGGTGGCATCGAACTGCCGACCTTTTGGTTAGCAGTAGACCCCAGTATAGAGGAAACAGCACTGGATCTGTGCATTCAAAATACCAAGACCATTTCAAGTTTTTCTAAACAAAATCTGTGGCCATTTATATTCTTCAGACTATTTTAGGAGCAAAGACAATAGTTGTTCTTTACTTTGTAGTATTGAATGCTTAGAACAACAGTTACATGCAATCTAGGGATTTAGGCACTCTCTGTATTCTACGGATGTATTACCATATGAATTAAATTGTATTAAATCTTCATGGGATACCTGATCTTTCAAGATCTTGTGATTGAAAATTCCCATAAAATGGGATTCTGGGTTTCGGGCTTGGCTAGATGACTGATTCCCTACTCATCATATGTCTTCTATGAATAATTACAGGAACAACTGGAACGACTACGATAATGTATTCAGTGATGAGTATGTGTCAGGTAGTGGGCTACGTGCATTAGTAATGCATTCCCTCATTTAACCTTCCCATCAACCCCATGAGATAGTTATCATTATCTCCATTTTATTGATGGAGAAATCAAGACTCAGCTAAACTTTCTCAATCGTACAGATAGTAAAAGATAAAAATGAGATTTGAATGTAGACCTATTTGAAGACAAAGCCCACACTTTTAATCACTATGCCAGAATTGTTTCTTAAATAGTGAAATTGTTTATTTTCTGTGTGAGGGAGCTACACATATCTGTTGGGACACATGTCAAGACTAGTGCATCAGTATGCCTGCCATGACAAGGGATGGTAGCCATAAAAGGTTAAACGCAACTGAAAATTCATCTAATCTAGAAATCTTTTGAAGTGTTTACATTAACATTTGCTCTTCATGGCTTTCTCAAGACCTTGTTAAAGTCATCGATTTTCTATTTACATGAATATACCCATCGATGAAGAGGATCTATTCCAATGACATAATGTAGGCACAACATTAAATTTTAACTGTTATGAGAGCATACATTACACATATTAGCTCCTTGGGAACATCTTCCAGAAGCCAAGCCTTTGCCATGCCTCTTCTCTCAAGCACCTGCAGGAAAGCCCTTCATTTTGCCAATCTCATCTTCTCTATGAGAGCAGGAGGCCATCTGTCATGGATGTGTCCTTATAATGGATAGTATTGTCCTCTGTATGGGTATGCAGAATTGAAGACAGCTGAGAAATAGACTAAATAGGTAAATGTGTAAATATGTAGCTGAAGGGGCGGCCAAAATTAGAGCAGGCAGGTCTGTTAGAAAAAAATGGGAAGAGAATAATA